TGTTCAGATTCGAAACTTGTGTTAATGTGTAGCACACAACGTCGACCAGACTGTGCGACACAGTGGTTGTCAGGATGAGGCTGGCTTACCGTTGCCTGTGGCAGGTGGCTACAGGTGACTGTGGCAGGTGGCTACAGGTGACTGTGGCAGGTGGCTACAGGTGACTGTGGCAGGTGGCTACAGGTGACTGTGGCAGGTGGCTACAGGTGACTGTGGCAGGTGGCTACAGGTGACTGTGGCAGGTGGCTACAGGTGACTGTGGCAGGTGGCTACAGGTGACTGTGGCAGGTGGCTACAGGTGACTGTGGCAGGTGGCTACAGGTGACTGTGGCAGGTGGCTACAGGTGACTGTGGCAGGTGGCTACAGGTGACTGTGGCAGGTGGCTACAGGTGACTGTGGCAGGTGCCTACAGGTGACTGTGGCAGGTGGCTACAGGTGACTGTGGCAGGTGGCTACAGGTGACGGATCTCCCAATCCTGAGCACTCCAGGTGCAAACTCTGTGAGCAGAAACTACGGCACAGAGACACACTCCCGCACTAATTCACCGAGTTTTTCAATTACTTTAATCAATCTCGTGTTCTTGTTAATATCCTCATAATGCACCCAGAATTTGCCAGTGCAGACTACTGATCACATGGCCCTGTATAACTAACCATCCTGTGTGATTTTTTTGCATCATCACGACACTGTACTGCCCTTCCTGTCTAGAGCACCTGCACAGATGCAGATGTATTTAAATGTGTTAATTAACAAAAAGTTTATATCTGGAACGTCTATATATGGGCAGCACGAAGCGTCCACCGGACAGTGGGAATTGTAATTACCAGGGTGAGGTTGGGGTGGCGTTACCTGTGGCAGGTGGGTGCAGGTGATGAGTCTCCCAGTCCTGAGCACTCCAGGTGCACACCCTGTGAGCACCAACTGGGTCATCATCTCTCACACTACACTGTTGAATGTCCCATCATTAGACCCGCCACACCTGCCGGTATGAGGTCCTTGGAGCCTTAACCTTAATGACTGCCGTGTTCGTGAGGACATCCTCAACAATTCACCAGTGTGCGAGTACAGCCACACTGGACAGTTATGTGACGGCATGACTACACATCCTGCCAGGCGGGGACTCCTTACACCAGCTGGTTCTTGACACACCGTGGAGACCCTTCATATAGCCTACGGCAGCTGCCTAGACGTTCATGTACCTGAGTGCGTTAACAAACATAGAGAGCCGGACTGGTGGTTGGATTTACGAGAGCAAAACTGGTCAGTCTTGTGAAGACTGGCCATGATGGAGCCGGAGTGGTGGAGACGTCGTTTGGTGAAGGGTCGCCATGCAGGGCTTGCGTCACCGCGGCCAGGGCTCAGGGCACCGCGGCCAGGGCTCAGGGCACTGCAGTCAGGGCTCAGGGCTCAGGGAACCGCGGCCAGGGCTCCGGGAACCGCGGTCAGGGCTCAGGGCACTGCGGCCAGGCCTCAGGGCACTGCGGCCAGGCCTCAGAGCACTGCGGTCAGGGCTCAGGGAACGCGGCCAGGGCTCAGGGCACTGTGGTCAGGGCTCAGGGCACTGCAGTCAGGGCTCAGGGCACCGTGGCCTGGGCTCAGGGCACCGCAGCCAGGGCTCAGGGCACTGCGGCAAGGCCTCAGGGCACTGCGGCCAGGCCTCAGGGCACTGTGGTCAGGGCTCAGGGCACCGCGGCCAGGGCTCTGCAGTCAGGGCACTGCGGTCAGGGCTCAGGGCACTGCGGTCAGGGCTCAGGACACCGCGGTCAGGGCTCAGGGCACTGCGGCCAGGCCTCAGGGCACCACGGCCAGGGCACTGCGGCCAGGGCTCAGGGCACTGCGGCCAAGGCTCAGGGCACCGCGGTCAGGGCTCAGGGCACCGCGGCCAGGGCTCAGGGCACCGCGGCCAGGGCCCAGGGCACTGCGGCCAAGGCTCAGGGCACCGCGGTCAGGGCTCAGGGCACCGCGGCCAGGGCTCAGGGCACTGCGGCCAGGGCCCAGGGCACTGCGGCCAGGGCTCAGGGGCAGCGTCACTCATCCTGTGAGTGGACACACCGCCATAGTGACAGTATTGGGCAGCGCCACTCATCCTGTGAGTGAACACACCGCCATAGCAGCATGTACAACACTTCCCAATACGAAGAAAAACCGCTGGGTTTTTTCATCCTGTCACTTGTACCCAGATACAACTGGGACTTGCTTAACTGTCTCAAGTGAACAGGTTATCAAACAAGGAAATTAACATTGTTAACCCTAAAACTTACGTTTTCTGGCAGGTGCAAAATGGGGGCATCTTTAAAGAACAGTATCTTTATATGACAAATAGTGTTTTCTTTACTCAAACAATGTGGGGTTTATTATCCTACACATATTTCTAATGTCCCTTAGGTGTTCACACTCTCGCAGGTGGTGCTCATAGCGGTGTCCGTCGCTCTCATCACAGGTTCTGTAACTCCGCTGCTCAACTGTTGTTTCCATCCCGAATCGCCATGGATTTTTGTATCCAAGACGGATTCTTGCTATTACTGATTCTCTCCTGTGGCCATCTCCTTTTCGTCCATAATGATTGGGAGTGCCAGCTGCAACCATGTTGTACCATCGTACAGATTCACTGGTTTGTGATTTCACTGATCCTCCTTTCCTAAGTTACCTTGTCACGGTGATATTGCCTGACAATACCTCTAATATGTAGCAGAGTCTTGGGTATGAAGTATTCAATATGGTCTCCTTAAGCGTCTTCAGCAGCCAGCACATTTGCTCGTTCATTTTCACAGATTCCAACATGGGAGGGGATCCACAGGAATTTGACGACTCTTCCCTGATTGGTTAGTACTCTCAAAGCTCTCTTGATTTCAGCGATTATCACAAGGTTTTCTGCCTATTTTTTACTAAGGCTTTGTAGTGCTGCTTTTGAGTCAGTGCAGATCACTGCACAGTGTTATGACCCAGGTAGCCTGAAGAACGAGTCTACCCGTCTGAAAGTTATTCCGCCTACCGGACCTGATTGAGAGGTCAGAGGAAGTATAGATATATGAATATATACTAAACACATGATAAATGTCAGTGAATAGTTTAAAAGCATGAGCAGAGGATGAACATGTGAATAAGTAACATGACATGAGATGTCGATACTTTGCTGACATGATGTGAGGCTCGCTGGACATTTTGACCTTACTTGAGCAACAGAAGTCGAGAGGGAAGGTCATGCTCCATTGAGCTCCTGGTAGAGGTGGACCCCCTAATTGTGAACTCCTTCATAAGGAGGGAACCAGGCAGGCGTTTATGTGTGAAGCCTGTGGGAAGACTTAATGTACTCAAGTCAGTAGCAGAAGAGCTGTCAGGCAGTCTAAAAGAGACCTGAGTGGATATTGGAGCCGCAGCTGATCGAACGCTCTTCAGATACAATTTCTACGTTAAGCTAATATAACAGTTGTTGCCTGTGTTTGATTGTGTGCCCAGCGATCATGGCAAGTGTTTATATATATATATATATATATATATATATATATATATATATATATATATATATATATATATATATATATATATATATATATATATATTCAAAGACTTTAGTTAACATATACACAACTGAATAGAACTTACTGAATAGAATAGAACATCTCCGATTTTGTTTATATCTACATTTGAGTGAGGTGGATGGGGTAAGGTGGTATTTAATAAGGTATTAATTTCATCAACACAAGCCAGAACAAGAGGTGGTATTAATAGGGTATTAATTTCATCAACACAAGACAGAACACGAAACAATGGGTATTGAATAGAAGTGATTGTAGAAAGCCTATTGGTCCATATTTCTTGATGCTTCTATATTGGAGCGGAGTCTTGAGGTGGGTAGAATATAGTTGTGCATTAATTGGCTGTTGATTGCTGGTGTTGACTTCTTGATGTGTAGTGCCTCGCAAACGTCAAGCCGCCTGCTATCGCTGTATCTATCGATGATTTCTGTGTTGTTTACTAGGATTTCTCTGGCGATGGTTTGGTTGTGGGAAGAGATTATATGTTCCTTAATGGAGCCCTGTTGCTTATGCATCGTTAAACGCCTAGAAAGAGATGTTGTTGTCTTGCCTATATACTGGGTTTTTTGGAGCTTACAGTCCCCAAGAGGGCATTTGAAGGCATAGACGACGTTAGTCTCTTTTAAAGCGTTCTGTTTTGTGTCTGGAGAGTTTCTCATGAGTAGGCTGGCCGTTTTTCTGGTTTTATAGTAAATCGTCAGTTGTATCCTCTGATTTTTGTCTGTAGGGATAACGTTTCTTTTAACAATATCTTTCAGGACCCTTTCCTCCGTTTTATGAGCTGTGGAAAAGAAGTTCCTGTAAAATAGTCTAATAGGGGGTATAGGTGTTGTGTTGGTTGTCTCTTCAGAGGTTGCATGGCGTTACACTTTCCTTCTTATGATGTCTTCGACGAAACCATTGGAGAAGCCGTTGTTGACTAGGACCTGCCTTACCCTACAGAGTTCTTCGTCGACTTGCTTCCATTCTGAGCTGTGGCTGAGAGCACGGTCGACATATGCGTTAACAACACTCCTCTTGTACCTGTCTGGGCAGTCGCTTTTGGCATTTAGGCACATTCCTATGTTCGTTTCCTTAGTGTAGACTGCAGTGTGGAAACCTCCGCTCTTTTCCATGACTGTTACATCTAGAAAGGGCAGCTTCCCATCCTTGGTGGGGGTCCCTGAGTGGTGGGGGTCCCTGAGTGGTGGGGTCCCTGAGTGGTGGGGGTCCCTGAGTGGTGGGGTCCCTGAGTGGTGGGGGTCCCTGAGTGGTGGAGGTCCCTGAGTGGTGGGAGCCGTGAGTGGTGGGGTCCCCGAGTGGTGGGGGTCCCTGAGTGGTGGGGGTCCCTGAGTGGTGGGGTCCCTGAGTGGTGGGGGTCCCTGAGTGGTGGGGTCCCTGAGTGGTGGGGGTCCCTGAGTGGTGGGGGTCCCTGAGTGGTGGGAGCCGTGAGTGGTGGGGTCCCTGAGTGGTGGGGTCCCTGAGTGGTGGGGGTCCCTGAGTGGTGGGGATCCCTGAGTGGTGGGAGCCGTGAGTGGTGGGGGTCCCTGAGTAGTGGGGGTCCCTGAGTGGTGGGGGTCCCTGAGTGGTGGGGGTCCCCGAGTGGTGGGAGCCGTGAGTGGTGGGGGTCCCTGAGTGGTGGGTGCCGTGTGTGGTGGGGGTCCCTGAGTGGTGGGAGCCGTGAGTGGTGGGGGTCCCTGAGTAGTGGGGGTCCCTGAGTGGTGGGGGTCCCTGAGTGGTGGGGGTCCCCGAGTGGTGGGAGCCGTGAGTGGTGGGGGTCCCTGAGTGGTGGGAGCCGTGAGTGGTGGGGGTCCCTGAGTGGTGGGGGTCCCTGAGTGGTGGGGGTCCCTGAGTGGTGGGGGTCCCTGAGTGGTGGGGGTCCCTGAGTGGTGGGAGCCGTGAGTGGTGGGGTCCCTGAGTGGTGGGGGTCCCTGAGTGGTGGGGGTCCCTGAGTGGTGGGGGTCCCTGAGTGGTGGGGGTCCCTGAGTGGTGGGGGTCCCTGAGTGTTGGGAGCCGTGAGTGGTGGGGGGTCTTAAGTGACGGGGGCCCTATCGCTCAGGGCCCCCCGCCGCTCCGGGCCCCTCCCCCCCCCTCTCAAACGTTTTATATCGTTATTCAACACATTAAATACAAATTTGCATAATGAAAGTAATTTAGTAACATCCTGAGGATGGTGGTAATGCTCTCCCGCTACACAGGTCAAGGTTGCCAGTTGACAAATGCTGTATAAAATGCTATTATATCTGTATAAATAAAAATGGAAATGTTCGCTTGTACATAACCGCTAATCTCCGAAAGTTCTTCACCGATTGCTTTGTAATTTTGACACAACGTTCCATTGGAATAGGCGTGTCTTTTTATATATCTACTATATACATGCCTCACCTGTGACAGGTAAAAACATGAGTTTTTGAAAAACAGTGCCATCTGTTGCGCATAATAGCAACATGAACGCTATACTAAAAGTCACGAATTCCTTTTCAGTGTTTTCGATTGCATTGATAAATTGAATTTTCATAGATTTCGATTTATTTTATTTTTTATTGAATTATTATGTGCGACATTGTGTTGGAATTGAGCTGTGTTGTTTACCATACCGTTCATTTCGTAAGTATAAGTATAGATGCCACACCTGTGACAGGTAAAACTATACTTTCCTTGAAAAACAGCGCCATCTGTTGCATGTAAGAGCAACACACACACGCTATACTAAATATGTTACAATTCCATTTCAATGTTTCTGATTGCATTAATAAATTGAATTTTCATAGATTTTGATTTATTTTAATTTTGATTTAATTATTTTGTGTGAATTGCATTGGAATTGAGCTGTGTTGTCTAGGAGCCTATTGGCTCCTTGAACGAACCTGTAACAACGTTCTAGGTATCTGTACTTGTTAGTTGTCTGGGTCTCCCTGAAGGTGGTCGCCCCGCCTCCCTCAGCTGTGCTGTAAGGTAGATAGGTATCAGCCAATGTACACACACACGTGTAGTCCCATACGACCTGTTTACCTTCCCTCCACGGTTGCAGGGTGACTCCATCTGGACGTGTGTGGCTGTTGTCAGGTCTGCACCACTGAGGTTCTCTTTGTGCTGGACACCCAGCTGTGACCAAACTTCTCTTATGATGTCACTGACTGCTTCATGTCTGCCACTCACCTAGTTGTGCTTGCGGGGGTTGAGCTGGGGCTCTTAGGGCTCGCCTCTCAACCAACTGACTTTTTTCCCACACTTACACCCCAGGAAGCAGCCCGTAGCAGCTAATTCCCAGGTACCTATTTACCGTTAGGTGAACAGGTACCTACCTGGTTGTATCGGGAATAAAGAAACTCTGCTCATTTGTTTCCGCCTCTGCCGGGAATTGATCCCCGGACCCTACGACTACGAATCGCAAGTGCGCGCGCGCGTGTGTGTATTCACCTAGTTGTACTCACCTAATTGTGCTTGCGGGGGTTGAGCTCTGGCTCTTTGGTCCCGCCTCTCAACTGTCAATCAACTGGTGTACAGGTTCCTGAGCCTATTGGGCTCTATCATATCTACACTTGAAACTGTGTATGGAGTCAGCCTCCACCACATCGCTTCCTAATGCATTTCATTTGTCAACCACTCTGACACTAAAAAAGTTCTAATATCTCTGTGGCTCATTTGGGCGCTCAGTTTCCACCTGTGTCCCCTTGTGTTAAATAGCCTGTCTTTTTCTACTCTATCAATTCCCTTGAGAATCTTGAATGTGGTGATCATGTCCCCCCTAACTCTTGTGTGTGTGTGGGGCGGGTTCTCCCTCTCACCAGTAATATCATTCACCGTAAGGCCATCCAGGGGTTATCCAGGTCCCATCCGTCCAGGATATTCCCACAGAGATAACAACATCTGCCCAATACCTGCCTCATACACACATGTTCCCACAACACAACTATTTAATGCCAAATTAAATAACATTTGCACCGGCCACTGGCATCTCGGACCCTTACTTAAGACTGCATCAAGATAACAGTTATCTTTAGAATGTCC